AGTACATGGGGGGTTAGCATTTGGACTATGAAGGAGCTTGAAGACTACATAATGAAAGATACAAACACAAACATGCACAAATACACAAAAGTCAATAGTTAGAGTTACCTGGATACAAAAGGGAAAATGGTGGTGTTTGCATCAGTCTTCACCATGCCACCTTGAAAGAATTGGGGAAAAACAATCTACTTGTGTTAAGTAATGAAGAAGCAGTTCTACTGGACAGTTATCAAAATGAAGTTATCAAAAAATGAGAAATGCTATTTAAACTGTATTCAATGTCCTGGGAAAAATTATACACATAAGCCTTCTGGGACTGGTCAGGGCTCACGTAGAGTAGAATAAGTAGTTATACCAAAGAGCCAATCACAGTGTCAGTTTTTAATAAAAATAGTCAGGATGAATCCTGCAATTCTGAACTAATGTCTGTGCGGGGCACGGCCAGGTTGCGGCTGTTGCCCCAGTGGGTTCTATCCCCTGATGTTAAGTTAATGAGAGGGAGAGGCGGACTCACAGTGGTTCCAAAGTATTTTCTTTTATTTAGTCTGTTTTACATGCGCTGCACTGATGTAGATGTGGCTGCGCAGGCAGTTACACTTAGTTCAGTCCCAGCCCTAATGAGGGACGGATATAACAAAACAAAAAGACTCAGGGATCCACTTGTATACGCACCACCCGGTGTTGAATGTGGCTGCCCGTCCCGTCCCGGCTCGGGAGACAGACGAATAAACAAAAAACAATCGAGGGATCCAAAATGATTAAAGCAAATTTATCTGCCCTGGTTCGGGTGAGGGACAAAATCGAATCTCGGTTTTTGGGTGAAGGGCGAAAACAATAAATCGGTGGATCGTCCGAGATTAAATCGAACCAGTCGGCAAGTAGTTTCGATAATCAGAGAAGCCGCGGGAAGCTGGCCAGGCCTACCCACTGAGCGATGGAAGCTCCAGCTTCTCTCAGCTGTCCTCTCTGTTCCGCCCACCTGGAAAATTCTGCACCAGTCTTTATAGGGCAGATCACAAGCCTCTCCTCAGACTGCCCGATTGGTTGACTTTTCCCGCCAGAATGTTCGCGGGCTTTTCCCCAGGGGACGGGGTTTCCCCAGCACATGGCCGGGGCCATGCAGCAAACCAAACAGGGGCTTTCCCAGATCGAAAGGAAAGTGCTTGGTGGCACCAAAGCTGGCAGAGCCCAGCTTGAGCATGACAATGTCCCCTGACTTCACACTGAGAGCATCTATATGAGACACTCTACTGCACAGTAGACTAATCTACTGCATAGTAAAGCATCACCATGTAACCATACACAGCAGCTACTATGTAGTAAATTAGTCTACTGTGCAGTAGGGCTCATGTAGACACTGACTGGGAGCAAATTTGCTCCCAGTCAGCCACACCACCAAGGGGCCTGGTCCTGGCACTGCTCAGCTCCCAGCTTCCCCAGGAGCAGGGAGCCAATCAGCACTGGGACCGGGTCCCTCTCTACCCACCCTCCCCTGTCCCAGCGCTGCAGGGATCCTGGCTTCCCATAGGAGTGGGGAGTTTGGCAGCTCCAGGACAGGGGAGCTCTTGCTTCCCCACTTGGCCAGGGGCTGGCCAGGAGCTGTCCTGACTATGGGGCAGTTGGCAGTGAGTCCCCAACTGAGCAGGGAATTCCCACCTAGCCAGGGGCTGGCCACAAGTTGTCCCACCATGCTCACTGCCCAGGGCATGGGGCTGGGGAACAGCTGCCCCCTGCCAACCAGAGCCCAGGCCTGACCCTGATGTCCCCTGCCAGCCTGGGGCTGGCACCGAAGATAGCCTAGAGTTCCCCCTGGGTGCCGTATGGCAGGAGATCAAGGCAGGATCCCTCCTCTGAACTTCTCCTGTCAGAAGGAAATTTGCTCCTGACCAGTTCACGTGTAGATGTGCTCTCATGGAAGGCTTACTGTGCAGTATTTTACTGAGCAGTAAGCTTTCTATGCATTAATTGTACATGTAGATGGACCCTCTGAGTCATATAGACCTTAGAGGAATATACACTGATAGAGACAAAGTAGCTTGTCTTTAATAATGCGAAACTATGATTCTGTGATTCTAACTGTAACTCTCACCTCCCTGAATTATCTGAAAGCATCCACAGCATAAGCAGTAAAGGAACTGGTAGGTTGAACTTGTTCATATGTTCCAGCAATGAAAATCTATTATGCAGAGCTACTGAGGAAATACAGGCTGTGAGAAGAAAGAAGTCCCATCTGGCACAACAAACTGTTAAGGAGGAAGTAAAACATATCATTTTTACAATGGAAGAAGGATTGTGGCATTTAACCACTGGCCAATATGAAGATAAATTGCCCTATTGAGGGCATCCAAAGGAATTGTGCATTAGTACACACAGTTGTGCCATACAGATGATGGTTCATTCTGCTCTTCCATGCTGGACCCATGACCCAGTCTCCTCTCTGCTTTTCCCTGTTATCTGTAAGGGTAGATTTTGCCTCCAGGATCATACATAGGAAGCATTTCCCACACTCCTCAAGACTGCAGCCCTCTCTAACCCTTGCATATCTGTTATAATGGGCTTTTAATAAAGGAATGCTTCAGGGTTGGGAACTTGACAGTAGAAAATAGGGAGGTCTGTTAGAAACTTCAGAAGGACCATTTCATGGTAGGTGAGAAACAGTGCAGATCACTGCTAAGCAGAACAAAAGTAAAACTGCTAACACATATTGGTAGTTATCTTTCCAGAAAACATAGGTATCACCATAGAAATCTAGCCAATGTTCTTTGTTGAGCAAAGAAGAGGATAGACTGTATTGAAGGAATAAAGCCTGTGGAAAGTTCTGTAAGGGGTACTTTTAGGTGTGCAGCATTATGCCATCCCTGCAGCTACCGTTAAGTTTGGTCCCCTGACCTGGAAAACATCAGAAGGGGAGAAGTAGTAAAAAAGATGGGTGTATGAAAAGGGGCCAGCAACTAAGGAAAGAGCTAAAAGACAGGAATAATTTTGCTTGGAAAGGATAATATGAGAGAATATGGTGCTCTAGAAAATAATGAACTGACCAGTATAGCAAAGGCAAGTTTAAATTCTTTGTGTTCACATTTTCCCATCATACAAAAAGACATGCTGGGTGCATCTACACATGCAGTTAATGCGAGACAATAAACTCTGGAGCTTTTTAAGCTAGAGGAAACTGCTGGGCTCAGTGTCTACACGTGCATCTGGGACAGCAGCAATTGAGCTAGGGCAGAGCAGTCCTGGGCTGAGGGCAGGGTCAGCCCTGGACTCTGGGTAGCAGTGTCAGGTAGCGAAGGGTCTGGCTGGGGCACAAGAGTGCTGTAAGTGCGGAGCTGTGTGGCTACGTGGCAGGCAGCCCCACCACACTTTAGCACCCTCATGCCTCAGCCAACCCCTGTCACCGTCTACACATGCATTTCAGCACACTTAATTACTCTGCCAAAATACAGTACTGTCAGGATGGCGTTATGGCAGAGTTAATTAATTTACTGCACCCTAATACCAGTGCACATGTAGACTATGATGATTTACTCCGGAGCTAATTAGTCTACTCTGCAGTAAAGTGCTTGTGCGGCTGCACCCTCTCAGTTGAAAAGCAAACAATTTAGATAAATATTAAGAAACACTTTCCAGTTCAGTCTGTAAGTAATCCATCCCTAGCAATGCCTTGGGACATGACTGGGACAAATATAGTGTCTTTGGAAGATTCTAGGGGGTAGGCAATGAAGTAGAAGAGTATCTGTTAGATTAGCTAGGATAAAAAAAATTACAAGGTCTATCAATCCTTTTGATGCAGGGTGTAAACCGATCATCAGGTGGAGGGACTCCTTTCCAAACTGTCATCAATAATGGTGGCTATGCTTAATCCTATGCCTTCCATCACTTTTCTAGGGATTGGGTAGAACTGAAAGATCTTGTATAAATCTGTAGCATAACTGCATATGCAATATCAGTAGCATGTACACAACTGGTCTATTTAGAAGGACAGTTAAACTATTAAAAAGGACAGTTTATTGAAAAATACATTAAACTTCCTTCTGCCAACATCAAATCCATAAGGAGGAACACATCCGTTTTGAAAGACAACAGCATCTGAGATTAAATACATGAAACACTGTAATAAATATATCAATACATTTAGAAATAACAGTGTTCATTATTGTTTTTTCTGTTCAACCCATTGATACAAGTGAAAGTGTTTGAAGGCTTCTAATGACCTGCTATGAATGCAATTTGTCACCATGCAGATATACATTTGCTTAATTTACGGAGAAAACTAATAGTCTTTAAACATTCTAAAGTATCTTTAGCCACCTCTCATCATCAACAGCAATTTAAAATTAACCTTGCATTTTGAGAATATCTCGTAAACATTGTGGTATTCCCTCTCTGGTCTGAATTTTTTTTTCTTATTTGCTGAAAATTCTAAGAAAGTTTGGGTTTGGCTCACCCGAACATGAGAGTTTTGTTCCCCCAGGTATGGTGTTTATTATTATCCACCAGGGCGTCACAAGAATAGAGCTAGTTATTTTTAATTAAAAAACACAAATAATAGTCTGTGACCACATTTATACACGGTCATAATATACCACCACTGCCATCAATGTTTCACCCAGCATGCTATTGATCTTTCTTAAGAAAACGCATTATAAAGGCCATTATTCCTCAGTCTGTGTTGAAAGAGAAAGAAACACTCCAATAGGGAGGAGTATTATATATCTAACTACAGCAGGCTTAATACTAATATCAGGTCAGGAATAATTGCATGGTCATTGGTAAAAATGCTATATCATTACATAGGTTAAATTAGCATGACTATTTATTTAGCTTGTAGAGATGGCTTGTTAAATATATCTTAGCTATAGACCAGATAGCAGCAGAAAGGGCTCATGGATTTCTGAGCTTTTTCTGAAACTGACCTGTCATCCCTGTTTTGTGTCTCTTTTCTGAAAGGGAACTCCATTGTGATCTTGGCACTGACTTAATTCTTGACTGTCTCATTTCAGGGCTACAGAGAGTGCAGCAGCTAAGAGAAAACACAAGATACTTCAGGCAGAGACTACATGAAATGGGTTTCATCATTTATGGCAATGATGATTCCCCTGTTGTTCCTTTGCTCCTTTATATTCCTGGTAAAATAGCGTAAGTACTGAAATATGACTACCAAGAAAACAAATTCATTCACAATTAGGTTTTGGATTAAACTATAAGAAGCTGACTACTTGTGGACGATGCTGCAGAGGAAAAATGTGTTCCTTTAGATCAGCTTGCCAGTACTATTTAAGCATGGGCTTCATTCTGGGCTAGATTTCCTGTACAAAAAATCAAGGTGTTTTGTGTATGGGAATTTAAAAACGAAATGTCCCTGACATATGCACTGCCCATTTTTCAAAAGTTGCTTGATATGACTCATCTTTCTCTTCCTTGTTGATGTCTCACAATAACATTTTTGGTATTGCTGGAGTGATGTTGGTTGGAATAGCCTTAGACAAGATTTCTGGTACCATGGTCCTATTCCTCAGGTCCTGCTAATAACATTTTTTAAATTTATAACTAAAGGTGCACATTGCCTGATTTTAAAATATATTTTATTGTTCTCCATCAAATGCATGTCTTTATACTGATAATGTTGTTACACTGACCTACATTGCATTATTTGTATGTATCAGACAAAACCATTTATTGATTAGACATGAACATTGCTTAGCGAGCAGTAGCCTATTAACTAATCAACAGGATTTATGATACCTTTCCCAAATCGACTAGGATCCTTTGGGTTTTTAACAATGGTCCCCAAACTTTGATGGCCCATGGGCAACAATATTAAGCAAATGACATGTTGCAGGCAACATTATACTTTGCTCCCCGTCAACCTCTTTTTCATTTCCAATGACCATGAGCAACACTGAAGTGTCTCACATGTAATATGGTGGCTGTAAGCCATGTGTTCAGGGCCTGATCTGTAGTTTAATTATTAAACCCCCTTGGAAGGACTTTCTGATAGGCAAGAAAAGAAGACTTTACAGAAGTGAGCTACACAAAATCATAACAGAGCCCCAACACAAGTAGCTGGAATGGTTGCTTGGGAAGAATAGATGGCACCTTTATTTCCAGAGCCATTTTTTTCTCTCTTGGGGCTTTTGAAATTAATCAAGTTGTGTAACAGCTTCTTGATGATGACCTTTTATTTTATGCCAGTGTTCTAGTTATGAGCTCTCTAGCTCCTAATTAACTTTAGTAAAGTCCAGTAATCTGTTAACAGTGTTCATGTCTTTACTTAGCATTCATTTGTCTTTCAAGAATATGTTGATGGAATTAGAATTATATGTATGTGATGAATATCTTTGACTACAAATGAATTAAGAAAAGAAAAGAAAGACAAAAGTAGACAACTTAATGCAGTTAAAGCCACTTCAGGTTGAGTAGTTGCTTCAGCTGGTGCTATCTTACTAGACACCCTGTAAAATTGTTAATGGACAGTAAATATTGTTAAGAAGCCTAATTTAAGATTTCTTTACATATAATGGAGAGTAGAAGAGTAATAAAATATTTTAAATTAAAACTTTGTTTGTGAATAATAAGGTTCCTTAGGTTTTCAGCTTTATTCTAGGTCAGTGATGGATACCTGAAATAAAACATTCATTTAATAGTCAGAAAAAGGCATACACGCAGACTTAATGTTAGATAGAAGTCTTAGAGAACCATTCTTTTTATCCCTGATCATTTCAAGATCAGCAAAGATGTCTTAATTCACTGTCCTAAAGTTCTGTGTGAGCTGGTCAGGGTTCAAGGACTTGTCAGTGCTTGTGCCTCACCTTTGGACCTTCCTCCTTAATCTGGTTTGTCACAATCCCTCCAGAGTTGTTCTATGGGTTCACACCCATTTCTCTTATGTGCCAGCTTATTCAGTTTCCATGGTCTCCCTGTATCATTTTATACAAAGTAGGAGAAGGATTTGTTTTGGGGAGCACTAGTCCCAATTAAGGATGATTCATTTATGCAGATACATCTGTATTACCTACCTCCCGTGAATAATTTTATCCTCAGGACATCTAGCAGGTAGCTGTGCTCCCTGATTTACAGTTAAAGAGATGAATCTGTGTGTGTCAAGTGATTTGCACATGTGAAAAGCCTGTTTTGGAGCTAGGGCCAAATCCTGGCCTCCCAAATCCCAGTGTAGACCTTCTCAACCGCAGCATTTTCCTTTGACTTTATATTCAGTGCCTTATCCAACAAACAGGGCTTTAAATTTTATTTAAATGGTGTTTTTATTTAGCACCAATTGATACAAGGGCTGTGTCTTGCTACTTTGAGACCTCCATCAGCACTTACATCTGTGCAAAGTGATTGTAAAATACAATTCTTTCAGAATTCTCTGCTCACTTATGCCAGCCATAGCATTTTTATGCCCATTTTGCCAAGAAAATAAATGACTTTTCAACCACAACATTGCAAAGACTCAGTCCTATTGGATGATATTCTGGCACTATTGAAATCGAAAGGAATTTACCAACTGTTTCAGGAGGAGACAGGGTTTCACCTATTGTTTTATTACTCTTGACTGTTTTCTCTTTGTGGTCAATTTATTAGAGATGATTTACTTTTGCTTTCTTCTTTTTCCCTTCCCCACCCCACCCAAGGGCTTTTGCAAGGCGCATGCTAGAAAGAAATATTGGGGTGGTTGTCGTTGGCTTTCCGGCTACTCCTATCACAGAATCCAGGGCTCGGTTTTGTGTGTCAGCTGCACATACACGGGAGATGTTAGACACGGTAAGCACAGCAGATGTCCTTGTGAAATTAACTTCAGATGCTTGTGGGGAGAGGTTGGGAGAAGCTACAAGTCTGTTACTTTGAACCTCAATAATTCATTTTGCATTTGTTTTCCTTGATCTTTGTCACTTGATCTTTAAAGATGTTTCAGCCATTATAACAATACATGTTTTATTTTAAAAAATTAAATTATCACACAGTTAACTGCACTATGTTCCACTATTTCTAATAGTGACCAAATCTGTCATAACTAATAAAGATCCACCTGAGGAGCACAGCAAGACCAAAGTTAAGTACTAGGGCAAAACTACCCAAGCAGGAAACCCTAAATGATGTGGAAATAATTGCAAATAAGGTTTTCCATACCCTTATTTTCATTTCATATTTCCATGTGTTAGTTAAATTCCAGCAGAAAAATATAACATGGCCTTGGGGGTTTTAAGATACATGTGGAAATTTCAGACAAATATTGGGAGTTATTTGTACCTACCAATTGGGTTAAAAGGAGCCACATGCCCATATTCAGCCTGGTACCAGAAACAGAGCTGAGGTTAGCTGAGATTTGCATTATAGACCTCCATTCAATATGTCCATAATTTTTTAGAAAAAAAATATAAATGTTGTATCTTTATCCAAAGGTGATTTCTTTGGAGAGGGAGAAATTTGGGGTATCATAAGCTTGTCCTATTTGCAAGGTTGGAAATGGGGAATTCTTTTGGTTGCCAATAGATTTTAAGGCTCTTCTTGGTTAACTGTTCAAATACAGATGAGTTTTATACATTCAGCATTTTCCAGCAAGGCAGGCCCCAATCCTAATTGCACACAGACCCATGATTTCACACCAAGTCTCAGCAGACTCTACTCTGAGGGCATGGATCCAGTCACAGTTGTAAGACTGAGGCCTCAAGCCATACATGAAAAACTAGCCTACCTGTCAGTGAAGCACATTGTAAAACAAAAACTTAATACACCATTTTGATCTGTGCAGTATGAAATGCTTACAAAGGTGTAAGAGGGAACCCTGAGATCAATAGCACAGAAATAAAAAGAAACAGCAACACAAAAATGTAATAATGCTTGGCTACATAGGTAGTGTTAGGCAGGACCTTATTTCCCTGTTTACTCCCAAGACTGTGTAAGCTTTTGATCATGGGACTCTAGTAATAAGGATTGAAATCAGTATGGAAGTCAGAGCCTTCATTTCTTTTTTTTGCATTTGCTCTCCAAAACCAGTAAGAATAAGTCTATTATGCTTTTCAAGATTTTTTCTTGCAATTCATGTCATGTGTGCCTAGAGACATATCTATGCACCATGATTGGAGGACTAGGGCCTTAATGCTCTATACTAGCCCCCTTGAATATGTCCCAATTTTGCTTTTGCCTCTACATACTGTACCAACCCTGCAGCCCTACAAACTGACACAAGAAGTGAGGGCGAGTTCCCACTTTTATATAGAAAATCATTGGGGTTCAGGTCACAAGCCAACAGGCCAAAGGGAGGGAACAGGTAAAGAAACATCAATACTGTGGTAACATCCACTCAATACCTTAATTTTCCCACACACCTCCAGAGGTGTCCTCAAACAAGCCTTTAGTCTCTAGAGCACTCAGACAGCAGCCTGCAGCTGCCCCCAACTCTAAATCCAGCTCCTTCAGTCTACAGTCGTGGCTGATGGAGCCAGTGAGATCTCCAGCTCCACTGTGCACTCCTCTGCTTAGGGCTGACCAGATTCCACTTGTGGGATGCTCTCTCTTCCCCTCACTCCAGCCTCCAGCTTCCTCTTTCTTTTTTTTCCTGGGGGTTTCTGGAAGGTGTTGTTCAAATTAATAGACATCACAGATTTGCAGACTGCCCCCTGGTTCCTCCTGCTGTTACACACATTACACTCATATTACTGTATTATTAACACTGGAGGCATAATCAAGCTTCCCTGCACCTAATGTGAAGAATAGGACATACCTGGGGGAGTTTCATTTAGTTACATCAGGCAGCTGGAAAGTTCGTAAGGATAACAGTTGCATGACTGCTGTAAATCTGGCATACCATAAAAACAGACAGCTCTGGTGCAATGAAAATGTCTGACTGGTGCAAATAATGGGTTCAGCCATGGGCTGGAATGTATAAGAGGGATGATCCCAGTATGGGATGGTTTCCAAGGATGATAAATATTTTTAACTACATCAAAGGTCCTTTTTTATTTTGGGAATTTCACTTTTTTTTAACACCACCAAAAAAACTAAAGTTTTCAGCTCTTGAGATTATTGCACTGAGTGAACCAAACTCAGACTGAAATCTCAGTTTCTCTATCTTCATTTGATAGCAGAGTAAAAAGCATAAGATATTGAGCTGCTTCTGTCAGCTGTTGACTGTCCTTGCTTCCTATTAAATCCAGTGGAGCTGTGAATACTTGGAAACCCTCAGTTTAGGATCAGGCCAGCTGTGATGATAATACAAGGAAAAAAGGATAATGTACTATAAAACCAACTAGGCCTATTCAAAATATTCACAATAACTCTATTCTGGATTCTGGGCCTGATTCTTCACTAAGAGAATGCAATGCTGAAGCCAGTCTTTGGAATATAGTCAGAGGCATAACTAGGAAGTTTTGCACCATGGACAGTGGCAGCAACCAAGGTAGCAGTGGCAGCCGGGCTGGCGGTAGCAGCATCCACCATGCTTGCATTCCTTAAGTCAGTGCCCAGGGCTGATGCCCTGCTTGCTGACTCCCAGTGATGCTACTGGGTATAATTGTAAATGCAGCAGTACTACCTTATGTTACATTTGTGACTGTTTCAATGCAAAGGGATTGGAAGGTGTATTTGGAATATTTTTTCCTCAAAGAAAAACATACCATTTTAACAAGAGTCAAGTATTGTTACTGGCTAATACAACCATAACTTAATTGAGTCAAATTCTGTTTTCAAGGACACTAGTGCATCATTCACTGCATCTCAGTTGACTTCACTGATTTTCACTAGTCCAGCTTGGAGCAAAACTTGGCCTTTGGCCAATATTTCTTTTTCTTCTCTGATTTGAAAGGCTAAAACACACTGATTTTTTTATGCGTGTTCAGCTGGAAAGCAAATGTGAGAACAGCTTTAAATCCTTTTAAGATAACTGATATAGTGTGATGGTATTGCAGGTCCTGAATGCCCTTGATGAATTGGGCGATTTTCTACAATTGAAATATTCCCGGAATTCCAAGTCATCTCGTCCTGAACTATACGACGAAACAAGCTTTGAACTTGAAGATTAAGCCTCTCAGTCCATGAAGAAAATATTAGGATGTTACAAACAGGGGAAAAGAAAGAACCTGAGATATTAACTTCTTCCCTTCCAAGGACAGTTTTTGTTTCTCGGTGATTTGAAACAAGGGGAAGCGATGCTGTTGCATTTTGCTGTATCAAATTTCTGTGTTCAAAAGGCTGGGATATTGCTACAGGTTTATCCCCTGGACTAAATACTTATTAAGGTATTTGTGTTGCAAAGAGACTGAATCTATTGGTCAAGTTGCTATTAGGCAGCTTTTGTATGAAGTTGGCTTTGGGTAGTTCTTAATTAAGGTTGACATAATACACTTTTTTAAACGACTGGATTTCAACATAGTTTGTTAGTTTACGTGAATTTCATCAGTCAAATCTTGAGAGGTATGCGCCTGAAGCAGAATTACAGACAGCTACAAAGGAATACAACAGATAGGGGTCTTTCTAATAGGGGTTCTCAATAGGTGACAAGCACTTGAAAACAGCTAAACTACAACAGAAGAAAATGTCCCTTTTTACACATATCAATTTTTTCTGGCAGAAACCTGTGGAGGGGAAATATGCTGATTTTTTCTCCCTTCCTCTTCTTGCCCCTTGATGCTTTTGTTCATGTGGAAAGAAAAATTGGCTCTATGGTACATGAGTTGAATCTTTTCATTGAAAGTGAAAACTTTTCTGCTAAAGCATTCACCCTGCAACCTCCCATGTCTTATGGCAACTCAAGTCACTCAGCAGACATGTTCCCTTTTTATGGACGAGTGGTAAATAATTGTAATAACTATTTAACTTTCATGTTAAAAACATTGATCAAACCACACAGATACTTGAAGTTCACAAACTGCGGATGACATTTATAAGCCCATTCCCCAGTTTCTTGAACTAGTTATGAGCTTCATAAATGCTCTAAAAAGTACATAATGCTGAAGCTGTTAGCCATACAGAATATGAAGCTCAGGGTGCACCCTAAGCAGCTTTGCCACCTGTTAATTTGAAAAGCTTCTGATTTCTAAACATACTAAATCCCCTCAGTTAAGTGTCTTTTATGAAAATGTTGTGTTCTCTCTTTATGCTACCGTGGTATGTTTAGAAAGGCTTTTTATTTAATTTAATTGTAAAAATGTAGTTTATGTAACAAATGACTGATTAAAAGAGTAGACAATATGGTCCATAGTCCGAGGGAGGAGACATGATCATGGTCCCATTTCTGTTGCCACCAATGAATGTGCCAAGATTCTTAGGAAACTAAAATCCTCCGCAGCTTTACTTGTTACACACTTGGGAACTTGTTCAGCGTTCTGGGGAGTTTTTTTGCAGACTGTACTTCTGTATGAAACCAATTAAAAATTGTTCTGCAGCTTTAAGAATGAACTCCAAGCCATTCCACAATATCAAATGTCATTGTAAACACATCAGATCAAGAGATGTTTAGCTTTCTGCTGCACAGATGTACCACACTTTCATGTTCATGAAAGCTGTGGTGTAAACTTAACCCACAGCTGCAATATTAGATTTAAGAACAGAACAATTAAATTGTGGAATACCAATTACTATATATTACTCCCTGCTTGTTAAAGCAGCTTTGAGGATAAAACAAGTCTGATCAGTTATGAGGACCCGGGCTTTGTTGGGGCGGGGGGTTGTTGTTGTGCAAGTTAATAAAATCCAATAGTCCTGTAACTTTAAGAATTGATTGCGACACATTCCTTAATGTCAGATGTTAGCTTTAGAAAGTGTATATTGAGGGCTGAGAGGGAGATCTGAATGGTGTTATATGATTATTCACTCTAGTAGATGAACTTGACAAATACTGAGGAGGGTTGAGAGAGTCATGGTTGTGTATCAAAGTAAACACACTGTATAAATATTAAAAAGACAAACTTTTTTTTTTTAAGTCAAAGTGGTTTTTTCCCCTTTGTTAAAAGTCACCTGATAGTTTGCAAAGCAAAGCTTCATCATGTGCAGAATGTGTATGCTTAAGCCTAATCGATGGGGGGGCGGGGGTGGAGAAAACTTTCCAGCGAAGAGCCCTGTTCCTCAAGGAAAAATAATGAGCCTGATAAAGCAAAGTTTAGGTCTCTGCTCCTGAATATCTGTGGTTAGATCCTCAGCTAATGTAAATCAGCATAGCTGACTTCTGACCTCCAATCTTGGGTTATATGGTTACATTCTATATTTCAGCAAACAGTGTTCTAGATGCTAATGCAACCAACACTACATTGTTCTCAAAAAGAGGCCTGAGTTTGATTAAGCTAGAGACTGATTGCTTTTTGTCCTGTGTGGGAATGTTGTCTGTCTAATGCAGGATTCCTCTTGCCCTCCAAATATTACTCTCTACATGGTCTCTCATACTAAGGAGACAGGGCAGCTATTTTTCAGATACTGTCAGTTTACATATAATATTATATGCTTTCTCAAAATTCCCTCCATCCCTTACAAATTAAAAAAAAGCACAAGCTAAACATATCCAGCTTTGAACACTTGAGGAGAAATTCTAGCCCCCCTCACATCCATGGCAGAACTCTTATTGACTGCAACACAACTAATCTAGAGCTACAGAGCAAAAATTATGTTCTTCCTTTAATTAATAGAGGCAAATGACTCCCCTTTTATCCAGACTGAGGTTGTGTCTAACTGTCTCAGAAAGACAAGAAACTTTAAAATATATTTTGATTATATACACATATTAACTTTTCATTTTCTCTCCAGTAGTTAAGGGCCAAATCTTCCCAAAGGGCTTATAATGAGCCAGATAGTGTATGTGCAATTCCATAGCTCACAGCTGAATGTCTGGGCAGGCAGGCATGCCTTTGTGAGCTTCAACTGTGTTTGCATGTGGAAGCATGGTACTTGGGTGCTGCTTTCCCTCATTGTCTAAGTCTATCCCAACCATGCAGTCATTCCAATAAAAGATATCATCCACAAAAATCCCTGCCTTTCCCTCATTTATTCACATACGCAAATGCAGTTAATGCTGACAAGAGAGTCTTCCTTTCCCTGCCAACAGAGAGAGAGAGAGAGAGAGAGAGAGAGAGAGAGAGAGAGAGAGAGAGATCAGTTGTTCAGGCCTGTGCAGGAGCATTAATCAAGTATTAGTGGTCAGGGGAGAGAGAGGAGGAGAGGCACAAGGCGCCTTGGCTCAGAGTTGTACAAAGCAGGTGCCCATGCTCTGAATGGGGTCTCTGAGCCCAGGAAGGCCCAGAGTGCAGATAATGTAGTGGGAACCATCAGGTATTTGCATCATGCAATCAGTTTGGGGTGATAGCATGACTCTCATGTGTGCCTCCCTCTTCAGATCCCATCAGGGTCCCCAGCAACTTAGCTAGTACTGAGTCCTTTCACCTGGTAGTCTGATGTGTGCCAGTGATATCAGCCAAGCTATCCATCTCATGCAGCCTGGAAGATTTCCTTAATGCCTTACCGCTCCACCTTTCTCATGGACAGAAATAGGCAGTTGCTCATTTTGCAGGATAGTCCTGCTCCCCTTAGCAATAAACACCACAGGAGTTGTTCACACACACACATGCTCCCTACAGCTTGTAATGGTGATGCCAAGATTTGAAGAATTTTGCCAAGCCTCTTAAGTACTCACCACATCATCTCTCCTTGCCCTGTTTCATCCTGGGTGAGCACATGAAGCAAATACCATGCAGCCACCTGCAGAAATAATTGGGCGAATGACAGTGGTGAAGTTCTCATTCTGCCCAATAAGTTTCTTCCTTAGGTTTCTTCCTTCTTTCCTCAGGATATCCTGGCTTTTGACCTGGACACTCAATTCTCAGATCAGTTGGGTGCCTTCAGGGACACCAGAATAGTTATAAAAAAAAGCCATTTGGCCTTCCCTGTAAAAGAGCCTGTTGTCTGCAGCAGACTGGTGGCCCAAAATACTCCATAAACAGTGCATTTGTTGTTTCTGATGCATGCCATCACCATGAAATATGGTGTACTGCTGGAAGGACCAAACATAAACCAGCTCATGTTACAAGATAACTGGATGAGGAGAAGAATGAACTGAAGTAGGACCTAGGCAGAAGCAGTAGAGCTGAAGACTACAGCCTGGATCTCAGTCACACAGAGCAGTTCATATCAGTTCGCATCAACAATTTTCCAGGTAACCACTGTAAAACAAAATGAATCATGTCATTAGTGACATGTTGGTGCCCACGGATAAACCAAATAGAGTCATATTAACCTGTCTGAGTCTAATGTATTCATGAAGAGCAGGGAGGGAAGGTGGGATGGTGGCAGCACCTGCTGCCTGTCACCAAATTCTACACCTTCTTGCAATAGCTGTCTGCTTAGGAAGTCATTTATAACAGGCACTGTTCCAGGGGAGATGAGTGCCAGCTGATGCATGGCAGCTGTGTTGCTCTCCCTCTCCTGCTGAAGGTAGAGCCTTATGCCAGTCTGGGGTGCTAGTGATCAGTGGTGATGTCTGTAAGAGCTGTAAGAGGACAGCTATCCTATCACATACCAGGAGCTCATTTTTAGGGGTGGTAACTTGTATCAGAAGCTCAGAGAGATGTTAACATGACACCTCTGGTTCAGAGAGTATATGTGCTTAGGTCTCAGTTTGGTTTTTGGATTCAAAAACCCTGTGGCATTGAGGGGGAAACTGAAGATCTTGGATGAAGACCCTTCACTAATCCACATACCTGAATGTAACTCCTCAATATACCCACAGGATACTGGGTTTTCTGCAACATATGATCCAGAAAGTGTCTGCCAACCTCCATGCAGGGTGATACAGAGTCTGTAAGCACCTTAGCAGTGCTTCCACTGACGGATATACATTGCACATCTGTGTTAAGTGACAATGCCACCAGGTGTGTCATCTGGCAGTGAACAAGTTAGCACAGTGTGCGAGATCAAGATCTCTCTGGGGCCAGCCAGAAAGACCTTCATGCATCAGCCTAGAAGAGCTCTTGACATTCCATGAGATGGGCCTCTCTCAGTGAGGTCAACAAGATAGTTCACTTCAGATGTATTCCCCTGACCAGCTGCACAGCTACCACATGTGCAACTCCACTAAACCCTGTGTGTAAGTCTAGCTTCCAGAGCCAGTAGGCCAATAGGGATTATCTGCTAGGGAAGCAGAGTGAGTGAGTCAGAGGTAGTCATGAATCCAGCAAGGTGGTGTAGCTTATATGTTAGGGGTGCTGCTGTAATGAAAAGACCTGATATGCCTACTGACTCCTATGCTAGCATTACATTACCTGACTTCTTTGCAGATGCAGAAGAACCTTGCATATGTGATGCTCCAACAGATGAGAAGCTAGATCAGCCATGAGATGGAGCTGTGAAAGATGGGCATGGAAGTAAGTCAGAGGACTTCTCAGAAGTAACTCAGTGATGATAACATAACATGGCATTGGCCTTCGTGGTCTGAGAATATGCAGGGTAAGTGTTGAAGAATTAGGCTGTGCGTGCAACATCTGCTGAGTGGAGTCTGCTTTTTCCATGACCCTCACTGAAAAAAGGTCACTAATTTAAATTTTATCTGTGGATTGACATCATCCTGACAGAGCCAGGGCATTTGTGTCTGTGGACACAATGCACATGGCATAAACCTAATCTCTTAAGGGGAAATATTTAGGTTCTCACCCTGACTATTGCTTCAGTGGTGAGACAGTGTCCTCCAGGGCCACCTACAGCATACAAAATAACTCACATGCAGGTCAGAAATCAGAGCATTATAATTTCAGTGCCAGTGTTTGCTAGTTCAGCATAACGTCCAGTAGTCAAGAAATTATGAGTAATGGGTGCTTCCTGGCATGATCTGGCATATAAAGTTTTCTGCAGTAGCCCTTGTGCATGTTGATTCCTGTTCTACAACACCTTTGCAGTGGCTTTTCTGAGCTGGCCTATTACGGATGAGATGCGAGAATTTTACAGGCCAAGCTTCCTTGAGCTGTGTTTGTTTTGGTTTACTCGGTTCCAAGAGCACCATTTTGCATGGCACATAGTGTGAAGCAGCAGCTGGATGTCCTAATAGGATGTCCTAGGAACTGTCCTTTCAAAATTAAGGCTGAAGGGCTCAGCTACTCACAGCTGAGTCAGTCAGAGCAGATATTTTCAGAGCTCCTAGTCCCACCCTTCCCCCAGTCTAAAAAATTCTCAGTGTTCAAAACGTTTCTATCTGAACTCTCCTGTTCACTACCTCTTGCTCCAAAGCCACTTTCAGAAATATATTTTAAGCAATAAGACTTAATAGCTAGAGCATGTCTACCCGTGAAATTACTTTGATGCAATAAACTCAATGCAGTTCACATTAGAGTTTATTGTTCCCAGGCACAGCATTTGCATGTGTGCCCAGGACTGCAGCACTTTGAGCCAGGGCAGAGGAGCCCTGGCTGGCCGGGGGCCCTGAAGGTCAGTCTGCCAGCCCAGGGCTACTCTGACTCAGCTCACCATGCTGCAGAGGGGCTGGCTGGGGCACCCTCATGCCCTAGCCAGGCCCGGTGACTGTCTACACTTGTAAATAACTCCGCTGTAGGATAGTACTTGCAGAGTTAATTAATTTACTCCAGCCTAATAGTACCACATATGTAGACAATGACACTTTACTGCAGAGCTAATTAGTCTGCTCCACAGTAAATGTCTCATGTAGACATGCCCTATGGACCTGGAATCTACTTGTGGCTCCACCACTGCTCAGTGGTGAGTCCCTTCACCTCTCCATGCCACCATTCCTACATGGGAATAATGTTATTGACCTCCATTGCAAAGGATTGAAAAGAGATTAAAAGGATCATATAGGATAGGCATTGTTAGTAGCCAAGGGGTCTTTTCACTTTTAGACTGTAAGCCAAATACATTATTCCTGGTTGAAAGGTACGAGAACAGTACTTTATTTATGCATACCAAACTTAATGTAATAAACAGTACAATG